CCCATTCGCTCTAAATTAGTCGAAATAAGTCCAAACAATTTACTTTTTGTCATGATACTTATAATCATTCATTTACAAACTCCAAAACATGGAAAAACATGCAGTTTGAGTAAAATTAAATATTCTCGCTCATGGGCCAAAATGTTTTTGCCCATGGGCGAGATTTTTACATATCGCTCTAAATTAGCCGAATTTAGTCAAAATGAGTTGAAATTTGTGTCATGATGCTTATAAACACACACTCATTGATTTACAAACTCCAATACATGGAAAAACATGTAGTTTGAATAAAATTAAATATTCTCGCTCATGGGCCAAAATGTTTTCCGCCCATGGGCGAGATTTTTATTATCGCTCTAAATTAGACGATTTAAGTCAAAATGAGTTGAAATTTGTGTCATGATGCTTATAAACACACAATCATTTATTTACAACCTCTAAAACATGGACAAACATGTATTTTGAGTAAAATTATATATTCTCGCCCATGGGCCAACATATTTTTCGCCCAGCTCTCTAAATTAGTCGAATTTAGTCAAAATAAGTTGAAATGTGTGTCATGACACTTATAAACATACACTCTTTCTAATAAACCTCCAAAACATGGAAAAACATGTATTTTGAGTAAAATTAAATATTCTCGCCCATGGACCAACATATTTTTCGCCCATAGCGAGATTTTTAATATCACAAGTATCAGTCAGCTTATAGACAGGCCAACAGTACGGAAACAGCATTAAACTGTGTGATGAATAGTGTGCACATGTCTGTTGACAGAGGGGATATTGTTTTGCTGGTATTGCTAGACTTGTCATCCGCCTTTGATACCATAGATCATAGCATATTATTGCATCGTCTCGAGAATACCTTCGGCATCACAGGGATACCGCTTCAGTGGTTTGGGTCGTACCTCACAAACAGGTCACAGACAGTCTTAATTGGTGATGAGATGTCCACTCCAGCCAGATTATTCTGTGGAGTACCACAAGGATCAGTGTTGGGGCCAATACTTTTACCCTTTATACAACCCCTCTAGGTCAGTGTATTGAAGAACATCATATACCTCATCACTTCTATGCAGATGACTCCAATTCAGCCATGTTAAAATAGCTGTGGTAGTCTTCACATTACTGACTGAGTTTGGTTTACGCTGCTTTGCAACAGAACAGCTTTTGCTCAATGTCAACAAAACATGCAATGCAAAAGATGTCAGTGCTGAAAAACAAGCTGAAACTCAATTCAGACAAAACGGAGGTGATTTTGTTTGGACCTCCATCCAGGTTACGGAAATGTACTTTGGATCATCTGTCTATCGGGTCAGCTGACATCACCTTCAAGTCATCTGTCAAGAACCTCGGTGTGTACCTTGACTCCTCGCTATCCATGGAAGATCATGTGAGCCACTGCTGCAAGGTCAGTCATTACCACCTGAGGAACATCAGTGCCATCAGACATTTGCTGACGAGAGACGCAGCTCCCTCCCTCGTAAGATCTTTGATATTCTCTCGATTAGACTACTGCAACAGTTTGCTCTATGGAATCACCAAACAACAAATCAGACGTCTGCAGCACATCCAAAACTATGCTGCCAGATTGGTCACTCGGACGAACATAAAGGCACACATCACACCAGTGCTAAACTCGCTTCACTGGCTTCGCATTCCTGAGCGAATCATTTTCAAAATACTATCAATCACTTACCAAGCTGTCCATGGTACTGGACCTGCCTATCTGAGTGATCTGACTGTCTCATACCTCCCTTCAAGAACTCTATGCTCTAGTCAACAACAGCTCCTTCGGGTGCCTGTCACCAAACTTAAAACTTTCGGCTCCAGATCCTTTTCTGTCTCAGCCGCTACTCTGTGGAACTCTCTACCCGAATCACTGAAGTTGATTCCATCTCTTGAAACTTTTAAATCCAGCCTTAAATCCTACCTTTCAAGCACTATACCTAAAACATACATAACTCATACCACTGTGGAGAACTCAACTGCCTCTGTTTCCATCGTTTTGAGGCAATGCGCTTTGAGCATACCTTGATGGCGTGGATATAGCGCAATATAAGTGCCATTATTTTTATTAGGTCTTCAGACGAAAGTCTTGAAGACCTACTGTTATTATCCGAATATTCTTCTTCTTATTATTATTATTATTATTTGTACAAATTTTGTGACAGCTCTCCTGAACTAACCGCTGAGTCGATGTTTGTGAAACCTTCAGGGATGATAGCATGTGTGCTGAAATTGATACATAGTCGAAAAATCCAGACTTCCGGCTTCCGGTAAGGGCAGACAACCCAAAATGTCGAAATCTTTACACCCGAATAACTCAAAAGTATAAGAGATAAATTGACCACATTTTCACTCAATGTAGACATCATCAGCGGAAGTTTCGCGGCAGAATAAACTTTCTGCAATTTTGAAAAAACTGAAATTTTGCCGATTTCCTCGTTTTGACTGTGCCTGTCTTTAAAATCTCCAGAACGGCTTATAGTACAATCGCGTTCGATATATCATTTTAAAACCCACACTCCGGACTACTTAAACCCTTCAAGGCATATGGATATCTTGAATAGTTTAAGAGTTATCACCCTTGAAGTCAGTGATTTTTAAGACGCATTTTCATAGGGTTAAGAAAAAGGTCACACCTCTGCGAAAAATCTATGGATTCCACCAACCTGTAGGTAATTGAATGGGAAACATATTTGCTTCACATCATGGTTATGTAAAATCAATAATAACGTCACCATTACGACACAAACACAGCCTTCGCGATTTTGCACATTTCCGCACTTTTTTGACGGTGCCTGTGTTTAACAATCTTCTGCTCCTGAACGGCAAATAGTACAATGGTGTTCTATATATCGTTTTAAAGCCCACAAACCGGACTACTTAGCGTGCTCAAGGCATGTTGATATCTTGAATAGTGTAGGAGTTATTGTCCCTGGAAGTTGGTCAATTTTTGGCAAAACGCATTTTTATAGGGGTCACAGCTCTGCAAAACACAATGGATTCCCTTTTGAAGACACCAAACTGTAGATAATGAAATGTGGAACATTTTTGCTTCACATTATTATTATGTAAAAGTCAATAGTTACGCCACAATTACGCCACAAACAGGGAGGGACATTAGGATTTTCGCATTTTGTCAGTTGTGAGAAAACTAACTGAAGGAAGCGGCGATTGTTGCTAGATTTTACTGTCGCTTCCTTCAGTTAGTTATCTCATCTCACAAGGAAGCGACTGTAAAAAGCTAACCACAATCGCCGCTTCCTGGTTTTCAAGTGCCCACAGAAATAGTTCCCTCTTTAACAGGCCGTAACTCCGTTGTTCTTAGGTCTACAGTCAAAACAATCAGTGTTCTGGAATTGCCAGGATGTGGTCTCTCCAGCAGTGTTACCAGCCTGACTGTGACAGGAATACGCTTGTCTTTGTGACCACAACAAAATCTACAATATTTACCAGTAATCTCTTTTAGTATATGTCTGTAGATATTGCTGTATTATTTTGCTTTGTTTGACTGTGTCTTCCTGTTTGTTTTTCTGCAGTTTGTGAATTTTCCGTTTGTGTCAGCAGCATTGAATCAATGCCAAATTAATCTCAGGTTGGAACCCTGGCCTTTAACCGCACCACAGTAATTTTTTAATGGTTGAGTTGAGTTGAGTTGAGTTGGGCTTTACGTCACATAGGCATTATTCCAGCCAGCCATATAGTGATTAGAACAAGTCTGCATTAGTAGACATGGTAAGTACAGAGTCAAAATGAGTTTTATTTAAAAAACATCTATTCATTACGTTGTCATTTAAAAACAGAAAAAGTCATAGCACTAAATTTAAAAGCAGGCAATTTGTTAGTCACATCACACAGTTGCAATTTATGATACAGATAAACTTCCCTCAGGTTGTTCACTATCAGATGGGCGCTCACGCGGGAGAACATATATCTCCTATAAAGAGACTACCACTGCAAAGCGTGGTCCACGTGCAGATATGGGAGACGATGTCAATTTCAACGACAGATGTAATTGACAATGACAAGGAGCTGTCAAATCTGAGTTGGAACGTCATCCAATGCCCAAAGAAATAGCGTTACATCGGCATTATCCTAGCCATACAGCGTCGAGAACAAGTTTGCATTAATAAACATTGATTTTGAATGGGTGTTTAACAAATGCACTATATACACACATAAATCTATGGTTGTTTCACAAGTGCAGTATTTGCACATACGTGTATGCGTCAGATAGCTAGGATCACGGCGATTCCAGAACACTAATCGTATGGACCGTAGACCCAAGGACAGCGGATCTACGGCCTGTTCAAGAGAGAACTATATCTTCTCCAGAACTACTTAAAAGGTACATGACCCCGCGACCCCGGCTGCATTTCACCGATCCGCTCGCTTTCTAGCCCTTAAATACTCTTCAAACACCCGTAACTGAGAGTTAAAATGGACGCTCCAGCTGGCGTCCAAAGAAACAGTACAAGTGAAGGTAGCCACGGAGGGGTGTATGGGGAAGTCTGAAGACCGTCAGTATTGCCCAGGAGGCAATAAGTTATTATTATTATTATTATATCTCTCTCTAAATTAGTCGAATTTAGTCAAAATGAGTTGAAATCTGTGTCATGATGCTTAAAACATACACTCATTCATTTACAACCTCAAAACAAAACATGAATTCTCGCCCATGGTGATGGGCGAGAGTAAACATTTTCCGAATTAAATTAGCCGAATTGGCCGAATTAAATTGGGCGAGCTGAGTTGAAATTTAAAGTTTTAAAAACATACAAATTTACATTGCAAAACATTGAGTGAAAGTCAACATTTTCCATCCTTATGGGCGCAGTTTTTAAATATGCATAATTTTTCCAACTGCATAATGTTTAATTTGGTCAAATCTCTTGTCAGAAAGTGCCCACAGTGCGGAGAGTTTCTGGACTTTGTGAGTCCTGAATTAAATTGTGACGTGTTATATATATATATAGAGAGAGAGTTACTTACAGCATAAAACACAACTGTTCCATAAATCCACATCCTCATGGCCATGACATGTCTTTGGGCACCTCAGCTATAAATAAATGAAACGTATTTATTATCGAAACTCACAGCTGAGATGTGTTTCACACAATTAGCCTGGGTTAGGTGAGATGGATAAGTCGAAGGACATAAAATGTCGTTGAAAAAGGAGTTGACGGATAATCTGCTTTGTTTTTCAGAGTGGATTCTCCCCTGGCAATGAAGGCCAATGCTATCCACTGCGAGTAAAATGAGTTGAAAGAGCAAAGGACTAAATAAATCTCCCTGAAATACATGTCTTCTATTTAGAATTTGAGAGCCTGACTCTTCAAAGATCCAACAATATCTGCACCAACAATTTATCCGTGAAGAAGACAACATTGATATGTTGAGTAGTATGCATCTCACCATATTTTCGTTCAAAGTATACAAAATCTCCATTTGTTAGTCAGAATTGGACGCTCTTTGACTGAGCACGAAATGGCCATTTGAATAATATCCTGAATAGATAAGCTATGAGATAGGTTTACTGTATTTCTAAATGTGGACAACACGGGCACCCGTTTGACAGAAACTGAACATTAAACCAATGTGTGGTAAATCACGCACAGTTTTAGAAAGGAAAGGACGAGTAAATCGTAACACATTTCTGGAAAATCCTTGGATATAATTGTTTTGTTTTTCGGGGTTATTATTATAAAAGCTATACAAAATCCATGACAAGACAATTCCTAATATATATGTGTGTGCATGTACTGTTAATGAAATATATTAGCCACTTTTTAAAGTTATATAGTAATTTCGTCATATAATAGTTAATACAATTTACTGACCTGTGTTTACAAATTACGATATTGTATATTACACATCATAGGGATCACTTACCTGCTGCAGTTATGCCTATGTTTCATCTCCTAACACATGTCAAAAGTGTACTAAAAGTGTCAATTTCTGGTGTGAGTTAACAAGATTCTGTTCTGTGAATAACAGCGTCGTGTTGTTGTCTGTTATCAGAAAATTGAATGGCGATTCTGCTTAGTTCAGTGCACGAAAACAGCAAGCCGATGAAACGGGCGAATACGTGTGACATCATTACATTAAAAGTGTCACTCTGAACTTGAGATGCGACCGATACTGACTTTCGTTTCACAGTCTTTAATATGAAACATCTGATAATCTGAGAATATGTCATTGTCGTGGATCTTTAAAACTGAGAAGATATGCTATACAATGTAAAATCTCATTTCTACTCCGGATCATTGCTTTTGTTTTCACCCCTAATATATTTCGATTTGATTTCTTCTAGACACTAGTATTGGGGACAAAATCCATTCCTATTTTGTCCAAAACTGTATGAGGGAATCCGGTGATGCATGTGTTGTGGCTGAATGCGAATATACATGATGAAATAGGCGTCTCATGAACGGCCTTCGCGGAACGTGATTTTGTATACACTATCCAATATGGCGCAACACTTTCGCGTTCGTGTTCGGGTTTTCCCCACACATCCCAACCGACTAGTTCTATTGTAGACGCGTAGAGAGAAGTATCATAAGTCATATAATTGCCGGTTTCGTCTGTTATAAAATGAAAACATATAGTGTAAGTCTGCTTTACCAAAGTTTCACTTCAACATCGACAGTTTCAGTTCAGGTCAGTAGCTTCCCGGTAATATGACTGAGGTAATATCCCGTGACTCAAGCCTCTTCTTTCCTTGAGCGTTACACTCGGCTTTGTGCAGCTAATGTATTTATAACCTACCTTGCGACTGACGGGTAGTTCAGTGTATAACATAACAATGAACACTCGCTACGCAATAACTATAGGCTTGTTTTTCGGTTTAAATATGCTGAAGACATTTGCAAATTTCATTTGAAAATGATAATGTCGAAAACCTCCTAGCAGGGATTAGTTGGAAATAGGGCGGCCACTCCAATTTTATTCTTCTCTCCTGCTGCGTCACTGCAGTTTGTCCTTGTTAAAAGTATTAAATTGCTATCACATCCAACTGTATTCTTAATGAAATGTTTGAGTATATTTTCCTTTCCCCGTCCGGAACCTGCAGCCAGAGATCTCGCCATTGAAAACTTAATAAAGCTGTTGAATAAATCCGCTATGCCAGTAAATGAAGACGCACTATTATTTCTGGATATAAATGGCAACAGGCGGGCCCACGTAAAGTCAGTGCTTACGGTAGGATGAGTGCGATATGCGCATGCTCCTAGAGTGTTTTACTGCTATAATCATATAATCACCTCAGGTGGACGCCATGGGTGTTGATATTTGTGGGCCCACTTTCTTAAACTTTGGTTGGCTTTGGTGTTGATAATTATTCTCTAAATGTGTGCCCATGTTCTAGTACAGTCACGCTATCGCAAGCGTCAAGATGGCGTTGCTCGGTCCTTTTAATACCACCCGCTACCCGTAACGATCCGGGTTAGAGTTGGTCTTCAGCAGTCCATGCTTGTTGTGTGAAGAAGCACGCTGACTTGATTGACACAGGTCACCGTATCCCGTATCGTTGCTCATGCTGGTGAATACTGGTTTATCTTGTCCATATACTGGAATATTGCGGCGTTAAACAACTTACAAAGCAAGCATATGGCCGTCTATCTAAGGCTTGTGGTTTTGACCTCGAGGTCAATCCATGTTTCATCCCTGAATATGTAGAGGGCGCCATGGAAAAATGACAAGTGGAGAATTTTTTTCGAATAGTCCCAATTACATCCTCATCAACAAACCTGATCGTGTCCTTATTGATACAACGAATGAAATTACCATTATGTTTTACGGATTAAAGAAAATGCAGCAGAGAGGGTTCGGGTGATCCTGGCACAGTCAGGCTGGTAAGGCTCATCATCAGCTCAGGGCCCTCGCCCCAAGCCAAGACAGCGAATGGGACTTCTCCCAGGAAACACTGCCTAGTCGAACCCACCAAGAAGTTTCCGGTGAATACGAAGGCTCCCCAACACTGCAGCCTTCTGCATTACCCAGAGTGTCATAAGGGCTGTGCTCCCGGTGGAGAACCCGGGCACTCTCCTGATCTGCGCCAAGAGATCAGGAGGTACCAAACCAAGGGCACCGAGAATTCAGAAGGCGTGATTGCATAATGTGGTAGTAGACACTAATGTTTTAGCATGTATAGGCATTGATAATCTTTTCAAGCACCAATACATACTAGGCGTCATTATTAGTAATAGTAGTAGTAATAGTCCGCTTATATGGCGCTCATATCCAAGCACATTGCCTCGTCACGACGCTACATACATGACTGTCCCCGGTCATAGGACACTATCGTACTTTCCGATACTTTTTCAACTCCTGGGGAATGTACAGCCATGCTGCTTGTTAGGCACAAAGAACTAAACACTCACATTGCCAACACATCCTGGCGGGTACCCATTTTACATCTGGGTGAACTGAGGCAATGGGGATCTAAGTATCCTTGGACTAGGTATCTTATCCAAGGATACTACGCAAAAGTGCCCACCTCGGGACCCGAACCTAGGTGCCTCCACTGGGGTCAAACCCGGGCCTTCAGCTTGATAGGCAGACGCCTTACCACTGCACTATTGCGATCCACACTGCACTATTGCTCTCCATATTAAAGGGTGGAATGATACATAGCACATGTAAAGAAAAGTTTCTCAGATATAATAGAAGTAAGGGTGTCATCATAACGTTTAATTTGTTGACAAAGGCGACAGATCGTGACATACAGACAAAAGTTCAAACAGCACTAGCAAACATCAGTTGTATAGACCAACCCCACAAAATGAAAATGTCAAACATGAAGCACTCAGTCATTCAATATCTAGTGTACCCTCGTCGCGAGCCCAAGACACAGGTGCACCTTGTTTTCGTGCTCCTTATCAAGTTCATAAAAAGGTTGCATAATCGCATTCCATTCCTCTACTAGAGCTCCTGGAAGATCCACTAGTTCTGGGTGACGTGTGTACACACGTCCACCGAATTCACCCCAGGCATGCTCATTTTGGTTGTTGCGTTGTCGTCTTGCAGTAAAGACCATAAAAGCCATGCATGGCACTGCTACAGCAGCCAGAATCTCGTCCTGATAACGCTGTCCGGCACGATTACCGTCGACCACGTGCAGTGGAGTAGGAGTTATCCCTTTCTCTTGTCACAATTTATTTTTCCCTGTGAAGTTCCGAATTAGCTTGTTGCATCGGGCCAGCATAAGGCAATTATTGACCCAGCCTGTGATCAAACTACACTTGAGCAGGACGCACTTTGAAATCTAGAGATACGACATATTTGAATGTGCCTCAAAAGTGGTGATTTGAAGACACCAAAGGCTGAAGTAGCACACAGGGGTTAATAAGAACAATACGTAAAACGTCAGCACCAGAGAATAACCAGGCTTGACTATTCCTACCATATTCCTTTGAGCGTGAAATGTAATACGTAGCGGTGGAAACATATACGACTGCATCACTGGAAATTCAGTTCTGCAGCGTTTGCAACGATGTTGACAGGCATTGTGTTTGACATTAACTTTGGTTAAGCATTAAACTTATAGGAAAACGATGACTGGTCCCGTTTCGTCTTCGTTGACATCACTGTAGATATGTTCTGAGTTTCGGAACCTCCTGGAAGGGATACCCTGTCTATTTGGATCACTTTGTGGACGGGTGTGTGCCATCTGGTGGGATTCCTCTCTAGAACAGAAATAACATGTGGAAATCATAAATCGCAACTACGAACATTAAAACATCCGGACAATTCCAACAAGTTTTTAACTTCAGTGCAGCAGTATGCAATATAAAGAATATATTAAGAAAGGCTTCTAGAATCAATTTACAAACCAAATAATGAACTAGTTATGTACCATGGCTTGGCTTTGTTGCTGTAAAACTGTTGAAATATTGCTAATGAAAATCAAGTCTTTGAATGGCATTTAGAAAATCAAAGTTACATATAATCGTATGTAACCAAATATTAGCTGATGTTCTGTTTGACATGTGCGCAACACGTCAAAAAGGTGTAAATGCTGACCTCTTTGCGGAGACTCTCTTAAAGTGAAAATGCACCCTGCTACAATGATCCCCAAAACCAAAACGAACAGTGCTGTCGCTGTTCCAATTGTTGCATCATTCATCGGGACAGAATCTGAAAAGGATATTAAACAAAACAGTTGTCAACACATATATGAATTGTATTAACCGATAAGTGGAAATTAATGCACAATTCAGAGCACATAAGTGTGCCTGCTTAAACAGATGATAATTTTTGAGTTGCAAGTATAAATGCAAAGTCTGGCATAAAATGAATATATACCAGTATTTCAAATTCCAAATGTGTCTTCTTTCAAGGACTCTGATCTGAACGGGTGGTTGGGTAGCCTAGCGGTTAACGCGTTTACTCGTCACGACGAAGGGCCCGGGTTCGATTCTCCACATGGGTACAATGTGTGAAACCCATTTCTTCTGTCCACCCCGTGATGTTACTGGAATACTTCTAAAAGCGGCGTTAAATGATACTAACTCACTCATTCTGATCTAAACAAAAAGAGGAGGGAAACTTATGCATGAACCGAATCTGTATCCCCTTGTGTTCATCTTTTAGGTAACAGAAATAAATTCACAATTCGGAGCTGGTAATTATGTCCGTCTTATTGGTTTCACCATAGTGAGTGAGTGAGTGAGTTAAGATTTAAAGTCACATCGGCAATATTTCAGCCATATCGTGACTAAAACTAGTTCTAACTTTGTAATACAGACATGTTATATATAAAACCCTGTCAACGAAGGACAGTAAAACAACTAGAATATCACAATTAGATTTAAAACTAGTGTGGAAGGTTAAAACTAATAGCACTATTAGGACAATACAAGATAAAAACAGGTTATAGATCGCCAACAACTGAAGGTCGATCACCATACTAGGGACCATAGGGACTTACAGTACCTTGGCTACCTGCATGGACCCTAGTTGGATTTACACCATCCCTTCAGCTGCTGGCGATTGTAAGAAATGTTAGCTACAATTAAAATGACAAAAATGCTACGTTTAAAAAATCCTGGTAAGTTTAAATTGACTTTCGAAATTTTGGGACTTACGTACCCTCTCAGGGGACAATATTTTTACGATACTTCAACCCCCTTGAGGGTACAGCCACTAAGAATCTAGGTTACTAATCAAACTACCAATCATTAAAACACAGCTATATACAGAACATATTAATCAAAATTCATTAATGAAATCAATTTATTTTAAAAAACCAAGAATTAAATGAAGATGAACAGAATTAAAAAGATCCTTAACAGTTTTAACATTGAAATATTTATCCCTTATGATGGAGAATTCAACACAGTCAAGCAGGAGATGCTTGACTGTGACTCTCTCATCACAAGGGATACAAAACGGAGGATCTTCACCATTTAACAAATATTTGTGAGTGTACCTTGTATGGCCAATACGACATCGTCGCATGATGACCTCTTCAAATCTGGACTGACAACCCAAGTAAGTGTAACCGATATAAGGTTTTATTTCATGTAATTTATTTGTACCTACTTTGGTGTCCCACTTCTTTTTGCATCAGATCACGGATATAAGATCTTATAGCAGCTTTGTAATCAGAGTATGGGATCAAAAGTGGTGTCACAGATTTGTTGAGTGCTGCCTTAGCAGCAAGATCAGCCATTGTATTCCCAGAAATGCCAACGTGGCTGGGTAACCAACAAAGACGATATCGCATTGGCCAGTAGCAAGCTCATTATACAATTCAATAATTTCTAATAAAAGTGGATGTTTGCAA